GGTCTATATAGGATATATTTGAAAAATCGGTGGCTGTAAATTATCCTGGGTTACTTCAGCTTCTCTTCTCTTTTCTCGTTCATATAGGTCTACTCCATCGATTGTAGGCTGGTCATCTTATTTTGATTCACTCTTTCACTCTCTACCTCTAATATAATATGAACACACACGGTGCGCAATGGCCTGTAAGGGCCGAAGCACCTGCTTAACTAAACGAAATAAATGAAAGGCTGTAAATTTATCCCGGCTGTCTGAACAACTGTATTGTACAGTAGTCCTCCAATTTGGGGCATCGTCATTTGGTGAGCTTTGATTGAGCCGTCCACGTGACGCGTTCACCCTTCGACTCCGAAGTGGCCGACCGGGCGCAACTCTAGCTCGTGTATGGGCAGAGGCGCAGCCAGGGGGGGGGTCAGAGGGTCAGCTGACCCCCCCCCCCGAAATTTCTGTCAGGGGCCCGCTCGAGAAAGAGAGGGAGAGGGAGAGAGAGAGAGAGAGAGAGAGAGAGAGAGAGAGAGAGAGAGAGAGAGAGAGAGAGAGAGAGGAGAATCTAATCGGACGAGCCCGCTTCGAAAAGTATACTTTTCGAAGCGGGCTCGTCCGATTAGATCCTACTGGGACATCACGGGTGAGGAGTCGGCCTGGGGCCCCAGGTGGAGAGGGCCCGGGCCCCCGGGAGAACGGGCCCCGAATTCCGGGTGGACGGGGCCCGGACCCCCCGGTGGACGGGGCCCGGACCCCCGGTGGATGGGGCCCGGGCCCCAGGGAGAACGGGTACCGAGCCCCGGGTGGACGGGGCCCGGACTGCGGGTGGATGGATGGGGCCCGGGCCCCCGGAAGAACGGGCCCGGACCCCCGGTGGATGGGGCCCGGGCGTGGGTCGGTGGCCTCGTATGGGTCGGCCGGCCGCGTGCTCAGTCCTGACCGCGCCCTGACCGTATGGGTCGGCCGGCCGGGTGCTCAGCCCTGACCGCACCCGAGCGCCCGATTCCACTCGGGGCCCGGCTTTGGCAGTCAGCCTGTCCAGCCAAAGCCAAAGTCCCTTCAACTGCGCCCCGGCAACAAACTACATAATCACCACGTGTTTCCTTCTTTCACTTGCGATTTGTGTTAAATTTAGTAACACATTTACCTTGTATTCTGCAAATGTATTCACACAAGCCTTATGTGTTGAAGACACAATGATATTGTGTTTTAGGACACAACACGACTGGGTTAACACATTTGTAAATTGACACGTCTGCGACGGGTCAAAAAATGCATGATGCAGGGTACACAAGAAAGCCTAGCTAACACGCTCTGCCTGTGCGTTTTTAGTCGTTTTTTTGTGTCATTTTGTTTTCAGTGCACGGCGCGGTCAGGGCTGAGCACGCGGCCGGCCGACCCATACGAGGTTGCCAACCCAAACACGACCTGACGCTGCGCCCGGTCGGCCGCTTCAGGGCCGAAGGGGGAACAAGTCACGTGGACGGCCCAGTCAGAGCACCAGCTGACGATGCCCCCATCAGGTGAATTACTGCGTAATGCAGTTGTCCAGACGTTCCATACAGCCGGGATAACTTTTTCAGCCTTTGTTTGTTTTGTTGGGTTAGGCCCTTTCGGTCCAATGGGACCATTTCAGAGCCGGGAGGATGATAGGATATAGGGGAAGACATTGGTCTGGGCAGGCACCCATAGTGAGTCCCCGGGGCTGAGCCCGTCCAGAGGACAGGCCACCCAGCCCCAAAGTACTCACTGCACCCGGCTACGGGGTGCGCTCCCTCGGGAGCAGCGGTGCCGCTCCAAGGGAGCAGCCCGCATGAGATAAAGTTGCCTGTCCAGCCCGGATGGGGTTGCGGCGTGGAGGAGAAGGATTTCAATATCCTGAGGATAGAAGCACGGAACGGTCTTTGTTTGTTTGTTTTGCTGGGTTAGGCCCTTTCGGTCCAATGAGACCATTTCAGAGCCGGGAGGATGGTAGGATATAGGGGAGACATTGGTCTGGGCAGGAACGGTGGGGAACGGTCTTTTTCAGCCATCGATTTTACAAATATATCCTATATAGACCGAGGAGTTTCTTCCTCCAAGCAGACGTTAATTAGCTATGCTTCAGCTTGCACTTGATGTAATCAGCGCATATTGCTCTAGACAATTTATCATGTATCGACTTCCTCGGCTGTATTGTGCATTTTCACCTTTCTCAAAACATTTGGCAAATTTTTACAAAAACCCAGCATAAAAGTCGGTGCTCGAAAAACGCCCTCTATTATCCCCATCTGAAGTTAAGGTTCAGAGGTCGCTCACTGGTGGATGGCACGGTGTATTTGTGCAAGGGTACACGTCTACCATATCCGACAACACATGATTTCGATACACTGATGCATTACATTCGACCAGCGTGCTTGGCACGAGAAAAATTGTGTCATTATTCTGTTTTATGTGTTATCAAACGTGTCGAAGGCCCCGCCAAGCGTGAAAATACTCAGCCTTATTGTGTTTTGGGTGTGATTAACACATGACTGATGTGTTACAAGTACAGAACATGCCCACATTGTGTCCATTTGTTTTCAGTGTATGATACCACGGTTGTTGAGCTTAAATCATGCACTGAAAACAAAATGACACAAAAAACGACTAAAAACGCACAAGCAGTGTGTTAAATAGGCTTTCTTGTGTACCCTGCATCATGCATTTTTTGACCCGTCGTAGACGTGTCAATTTACAAATGTGTTGACCCAGTCGTGTTGTGTCCTAAAACACAATATCATTGTGTTTTCAACACATAAGGCTTGTGTGAATACATTTGCAGAATACAAGGTAAATGTGTTACTTAATATTTATTACACTGTGAATGTGTTACTAAATTTAACACAAATCGCAAGTGAAAGAAGGAAACACGGTGACTATGTAGTTGGTTGCCGGGGCGCAGTTGAAGGGGCTTCGGCTTTGGCTGGACAGGCTGACTGCCAAAGCCGGGCCCCGAGCGGAATCGGGCGCTCGGGTGCGGTCAGGACTGAGCACGCGGCCGGCCGACCCATATACGGTCAGGGCTCGGTTAGGGCTGAGCACGCGGCCGGCCGACCCATACAATGCCGCCGACCCATACACGACCTGAAGTTTCGCCCGGTCGGCCTCAAGGTTCAGAGGTCGCTCACTGGTGGATGGCACGGTGTATTTGTGCAAGGGTACACGTCTACCATATCCGACGACCGACAACACATGATTTCGATACACTGATGCATTACATTCGTCCAGCGTGCTTGGCACGAGAAAATTGTGTCATTATTCTGTTTTATGTGTTATCAAGCGTGTCGAAGGTCCCGCCAAGCATGAAAATACTCAGCCTTCTTGTGTTTTGGGTGCGATTAACACATGACTGATGTTTTACCAGTACAGAACATGCCCTCACTGTGTCCATTTGTTTTCAGTATGAAGCCGTGGTTCTAGGAAGTAAAAGCAAAACTCGTGAAATAATGCTTTCAGACCAGGGGGGGTTCATCGCCATAGGGACACACGTACAAAGAAATTGCTACCAAATGCTGCCAATGTGACGTCACTAGGATGCTCGAAAGCTGATTGGTCGCTGAGATTAGAGTAATGTAGTCAATTCTGGCGCACCGGCGCAGTGTTTTCCGACCGTTGCGTGTTATTACTTTGGTTGTTATGCAAAGTTTCAATATGTTTGTTTGATAATATAAACACGTTTTCATGTGTTTGAAGGTCGCAAAAGCTTAACATAAGTGGCAACCACACTTTGTATTACGTTTCGTCTCATATATCATGAAGAACAACCAAGTATTTCAGGCTGGGATCATGCTGAGCAACCTCACCTCAACCAAGGTATTCATTTTGCAATGGATCTTAACATAATCTGGCGTTTTTAAGTTTCCATTTTTGCTATTAAGCTGGTAATATTTTTTCAGTGCTCGCAGTGCGCATAAGTACCTTGACCTAACGGACCTAACATGATACACTCAACAAATAAAATGGTTACAGCAAACACGCAATGTAAACAAACTAGTGCTACAGCCTACAAGTACAGTGGCAAATTGAAATATAAATAAGCTCTTTACTTTTTAGCATCATAATTTAAATTGTACATAATATGGTCACATACTGCGGGATGGGTTCATCTCAATCTCTTCGCAATGTTATCAGAGCTGTAAAAATGAAAACAATGTTTTTCATGGTACCTATTATTGTTTATTATCAAATTGGTCACTGAAGTTATTTCATGGGTAGGTGCTTAATCTTTTTCAATATTTATTTATTAGTTGCTTTTACTGTCAGCATGATGTTAGCCAAATTTGTTTGTGCTGATTATTGTTGATTTTCAAATTGGTCACTGAAGTTATTTCAAGATAATTGCGTTTTAGGCAAGCTGAATTTACTTATTGTGAAGTTTTTTGACTGCATTTTTGGTAAAAGCTTCTCAAATCATGATTTCATGTAATATGGACACATAAACAATCGTTGCACACATCAGTATACACACAGACACACACAGACATACAAACACATATAATTGACCTTGACCTAGCTTGACCTGAAATGACCTCAGCAGCAAATTTCTGGTCGGGTAGTGTGACAAAGAGGTTCTAGCTGGCTTGGCACCAGAAAACGGCATCGTCATCGGTATATGATAAGCAGCGCACTTGATATTCAACGGTGACCCAAAACAGCAACATTTTTTAGTTTGACCTGACCTGGAAGGTCAATGACTGACCTGAGAAGGTAAAACTGGGTATCATTGGATTTGTCTCTTCCTAAAGAATCTTTTTGGTCCTTACCGCTAAGCTCTATCTCCAACAGGAACGAAATGGCGCGGGGGGGTGGCAACCACTACCCCCCATGTGCGTTCTAGGATGGGAAAATGGCATGTGCGGGCGAGGGTTAAATATATTAGTTACAAATTCGTCTAACTTTTTTTAGAAGCCCAGGGAATCCGGAGTACGTACAGGGTGTCCAGAAAAAACGGATACTATTTTTTTAAATTTTTGCTATGATTCCGAAAACAAACATTTGAAAATGGCATATAGTTGTATTCATTAAAACATGGCAAAACAGACGGCAGGTGCCACATGGCATGTAAACCCTCTGGTCAGTCGCGGCAGCTCCTCAAAGCAGATGCTCAATGTGAGCGCCCTTCCGGCGGATCAGCTCCAGCAGTAGCACGGTCTGCAGGTGGCTGATGGTCATGTCGACCATCTCGGAGGGCAGGCGGGCAAGTTTCCAACAACTGATTACAGTGCTCATGAGGTTTGCCAAATCTTGGACTTTAAGCACATGAACTATTAAGCTGGAAAAATCGGCACATGAGTTTATGAATGCGACTTAATTTCCATTGCTGGCTGATAATGCCTATGAAAAAAAAAATGTCATGGGTTGCGGAGGAATGGAGAAATCCATTTTGTTGTTTCAGCAGTACAACCAGTGCATACGCGACGGGGGCCTGCAGGCCAAGGGGCATTCATTCTGCACAGTGATCGTCGTCCTGGTGTACTGCGAGCCGACAAACTCGGTCATGTTGTAACGCTGCGTCGGGAACGGCTGTGTGAATGGAAAGTGCTGGCACTGGTAGCTGTCGTGCGACATGAGGTCGCCGGTTCGGACCATCTCGGGCCACAGGACGTCTCTCAGAAGGGTCTGGTCCCAGTTGAACTGAAACCAGACACCACAGCCACTTGGTTAGAGTGCCGTATTACACATGACTGGGCAGCAGTGAGCAGCTACTACAGTACCACGACTAGCCCAGCCTCCTCAGAAAGTAAAGCTGCTAGTACCTACTGAAACCGTTGACCGGCTCGTAAGTCGTGTCCTTTCAGAATAAGCTTAGATGAGAGCTCTTGCATATCCTGAATTGATCAAAATCAACATTTTTGTACATTATTATGCATGAAATGAAGATCGAAGAACAAGTTGAGTGCCTGTATTGTTATTTGCATGTAGTTATTGTTGCATGCACTTTAATTCGTTCTTAAGATGACGAAGACTGAAGAGGCCCGTGCATTTGTGTTTGCATGGAGAATACCTCAACTGACTGGTGGTGTTCAAATCCAACTTCCCACTGAAGCTTCCTGCGCCCAGGTTTCTAGTCAATCGGTATTCAGCCGTTCGTGAGCCGGTGCACGTGCAAAGCAAAAGTGTTCCAGTAGTAACACTGCCGGGGCGGATATGCATATTGCATAACCCAATACGCAACTAAGAAGACGCCGCCACCGTCCGTACAAGAAGACTCGGTCACCGTCTACGTAGACGGGAAAAACGTTCGGCGGTTACCTACCCTTCTGGTGGGGCGAATTGACCCGATCATCTGCTGACGAAGTCGGCGGTACTTGTCGTTGTAGCGGTTCCATCCACCCCACATGCCGGCCAGAATCTCATCTCCATGAAACGGGTGATCCCGCATGACGTGGAACGTTTTGTTGGACTCCAGCCATTCGTTGACTGCGTCGCGTTCTCTCTGAAAAGTAGGTGGAAATCCTACTAGGTGATATGGTAAACGAATGAACGATAACCAAAACTGCTTACATGGTTTTACATGTTCAACATTTTGTAGGCACATTTCAAGAGCTCAGACAATTGCCGCAGATAGGTATTTTGTCTCACCTGCGTCAGAATAGAGTCGAGGTCTCGCACCACAAACCGTTCGACAGACTCGTCTGCGATGACGGCGAATCGCCAGACGCCGCCAAACTGGTTGCTGATATCTCCCAGACCGGGCAGATGACGCACGTCACAAAAGTCTACGTTGCGAAACCTACAAGTCAAAGGGTAAAGTTAGAAGTGGCTAATTTTGAATGTTAAATCATGTACCAAGATGATATACCATATCTGGCTATTGTAGGTACTCGTACAGATGTCTTTAGATGCGAGGACTTATAAAACTGCATAACCTACCGCTCACCAAGTAGTAAAAACTCAAAGGTGGGTATCTCATATCACACAAGAATTTTACGTGTCAATTTTCAAAAACCCTTATAATTCCTTTAAGAGCATTCAAACAGCTTACTTGCAAGTAATTTCGCAGGCTGTATTGTTCCATTCTGAGGAGCTAGCTTTGCCGTCGTGAAAAACGCGCATTGTCCAGCCTGGGTAAAACAAAAGCGCACGCATCGCGTTCCGCTCGATGCCGCTTAAGTAGGCGGTGACATTGTCGCCGAAGAAGGTGTAGGCCAGCACGTTCTGTCCCGCGCCGCGCCGGTCGGCCGTGTGCCCGCAGTTGGAGACGGTCGGCTCTGGAGGATCGCCGTCCTCCGGCCCGCGCCACGGCCGGCAGGCGCACGGACACGCCTGCGAGCAGTAGACGGCGCTGAGCGGCTCACTGCCGGCGCTGCTGTCCATCAGGCTGCGGAGCCGACTGTGCGCGACGCCGCGGATCCTGTTGTAGTGCTGGCCCAGCGCGGCCGGACTCATGTGTCCGGAGCCGGCCGAGTACAGCAGCAGCATGCAGCCGGCCAGCAGTGTGACCAGCAGCACTGTGGTGCGACTGGCGAGTTCCTGCGGCAACCTCAGCCCCGCCGGAATACTGGGCAGCCGGTCCATCCATCCGTCCTCCCGAACGGCATGACTTGACCTCTGAGAAAATGAGATCTCTCTCACTCTTAGGTGCAGGCTTCGAAGAACACTCGAAATTTATATCTTAGCTAATTCTAATCTTAGGTGGTCCAAATTACTTAACATTTTCATTTTCATCAAAAAATACCTAAATGGAATGTGTAAGCGATTATGGCTCGAAAAAATAAAATCGTCTCTGCCGGAACAGTAGTAGCCCATCAGGGCGGAATGCTATGTAGACATCGCAGCTTTTATACACACGGCTACAACTCTGTATATACGAAAGGTACGGAGACGGTGGCTCAAGTCCATGCAGTGGTGGCTCCATCTCGACGGAATTGACGCAAGGCGTAGGTATACAGAGTGTCACGAAATTGATGCGCAGTTGGCACGGTCTGTTATGTTCATAGGCGGCCGAACCGGAACGGGGGGCACCGGGGCACCGTGTCCCCCTTGATTTTGGCATTTTAACATGAGCCCTATGGACGTTGCATGGAAAGAATGGGACCAAAAGTCGTCAGTGTTCCCCCTTATTTGAAGTTGTTCCGCCGCTACTGGTTATGTTGTCCCTCCCATGTCCCTCCTGAGTGCTGAATGGATGTAACTTTAACGAGTCCGGCACCAGGGCATCTGGACCAGGGCACTCGGCATCTAAATCGGCCATCACCTGGTATCTGAAGACTTTACCCTGAAGCTGAAGCCGCTCAACCTCAGGCTGCAACGCTGACTTACCGTAATCCAGAAGTGGCGCAGCTGGATTTCGCCAAGACCCACCAAATCGGTCTAGAGATTCAGACTTTTTCAGTGATGAAGCGATATTAGAGCTCTTATAACCCGCGCCCCGTAGGGCTATCGGCGGACCCTACCACCCGTGGGGGGGGGGGCGTTTCGCCCCCCCCCCCCCTAAGATCTCGGAAATTTACGGGCTGATTTTCAAAATTCAAACGGCGATAGCCCCACTTTCGATAGCCCCACCGGGGAACTACCATGTGACCAAATTTCATTGACCTAAGGTCAAACCGATGGACGTCACAGGTCAGGTCAAACGTCGGATTTTCACCGTTCACAGGCATTTCAAGAAATGTGTTGTGAAATCGAGTAAAATGGTAAGTTATTGAAAATCATCGAGGGTAAATTGTTCGTCAAACACATACTTTGCTTTCTGAGGTCACTGATACCAGGTCAGGTAACAGATCGGTCAGGTCACTGGGGGGTCACAATATGAAAGTGTCGTGTGATACATGTTTTATGGTCCATTTCACATGACAAATGCGATTATGTGGGTCAGACAGCCTTTGGGGCCAGCTTAGGTTACGTTCTGGTGAAGGTCAGGTCAAGGTCAGGTCAAATTAGGTCAAATTTCAAAGTTGATATTTTTGCATAAAATGGGTATTGATTGGATGCAGCTCGTCACGGGGAGTCTAATGATGGTCTTCGTTTTGCCCTACGTGGTCTAGAATTGCCAAAAATTGAGTTTGAAAATTTGATGTCATCATTTTTGAACAGTTTTCTCGCTATAACTTGGCCAAAAATCGAGATATTGATCTTAAATTTGGTATGTAGGTAAAAGACGATGGGTACTATCACATATATTCTGTTTTTTATACTCAATTTTTTTTTTGAATTTTTTTACTAATAAATCCAAACAAAATGCTATTTTGATTTTTTTGGGTCAAAAATCAACAATTTCATAAATCCGAGATATTCGTTTTGTAGCCCTGTCAATTTTGCAACTTTTATGTCTGATCATTTTTTTGTATCTTCAAAGCTGTAGGCCTGACAGCTCTTCTCTCGAAGGTCTTTTTTTCGGTCGAAAATGGCAGAACATGACGTCATTGTGACGTCATTTGTGATAAACCTATCATAGCCTCTGGAAAATGTTTTAGTCACAATGTGTAAAATTGAGGCCCGGAGGGGTCTTGAAAGTTTGGTGGCGATATCTGCAGGTGTTTAGGAGATATTGACGGAAAAGGACAGGGGTGCCGTTTCGCCCTCCCCGTCCCGCCTACGGGGCGCGGGATAAGTCACTAACCGTCCCGACAACCAGTTCTGGGCCGACAACAGCTCAGAGGCGCTGCGAGGCGTGACGAAGGCACGTAGGACGCTGCTTTTGTATTTGGATGGGCAGTCACTTTTGGCATTCAACGTTTTACCGATGTTGGTAGGCTTCACATAAACGCTAGTCACATATTTGTCTTAGTCACATATTTATTTGCCACTCTATATATTTTGAGTGGCTTGTACGGTTACGTCTAAAAATGATAGGCAGTTGCAGAGGTGGAGATCTCGGGGGGGGGGGGGGGTCGGGGGGGGGTCAGGACCCCCTGAAAACGAATTACTGCTATGTAAGTCAATGGTACTTCATCCAGCCCGCCTCCATCTGCCCGGCCTGGACCCCCCCCCCCCTGACATTTTGACAGATCTCCACCCCTGGGCAGTTGTCCTGTTGCCTTTCATATGTGAAAGAAAGAACCGAATCTGTCTCGAACTCGCGTATAATAACTATAGATGACTACGTATAATGACTATAGATGACTAGAATGACTAATGACTATCTTGCCCAAATACACCAATATATATATATATATATATATATATATATATATATATATATATAGGATATATATATATATATATATATATATATATATATATATATATATAGCACAGCGTCATTAGGTCATACATCAACCGCGCAATCAAACACTGCTCGTCATGGCCTCTTTTACACCAGGAACTTCAGCGAATCAAACAGATTCTAGTCAACAACAAGTACACTGTTACCGACATCGACATTCACATCAGACGTCAACTACACAAACACCTCTCTCGTCCCGCACTCACACCAAACAGTGACATCCAAACAGTAAAACTCTTCTTCAAAGGGCACATGTCATCTGCCTACAAAAAGGACGAGGTCATCCGAAACATCATATATCGTAACTGTGTTCCGGTCGCGTCTTATACCAGCATCAAACTTATCGTCTACTACCAAACACCTAGCACATCAAGATTAGTCATGGTCAACAACGCATCACGCGACAACAGTGATCTCAAGGCGACCAACGTCATTTATGAGTTTCGATGCCCCACTGGCGACTGCGCGCGCCGACCAAACAACTCATATATTGGCCACACCACTACGACCTTGTCACGACGCATCACTATGCACCTTCAAAATGGTGCCCCCGAAAAACACGTCCGATTAGAACACGGCAGCAAACTCACTCGCAGCATGATGGTTAACAATACCAGCATCATAGCTAGATGTCCCAAAAAACATAAGCTTGCGATTCTTGAAGCCGTCTTCATCAGGGATAGAGACCCAGCTATCAACCGGCAAATGAACATGACGGGTACTCTGTCCTTATACGATGGAAGACCCTTGGCGCCCAGATAGATAGCACTTAGGTTTTAGACTTGTGTGCTAGTTGATTATGTGTAGGCCGAATGCATGCGAAACTGTCATTGAAACATGTGTGGCTTGTCTGATAATTGTAACTGAATGTAACTGAACCGATGATTGTAACCGAATGATGTAACTGAATGTTTGTGTTATACGAAATGTGTGTCGGTGTATAATGAATATGTACGTAGAGTGTCCGTATATTTGCGCTGAAAATGTAATCGCGAGAGGTGCCATTGCAATGATCATGTGCGTTTGTACTTTAACCCTCGCCCGCACATGGGGGGGTTGCCACCCCCCCCCCCCCAGGTAGTCTTTCTGCTCTGCACTCAACATTTTTAGAGCTAGAAGGCTGATTTTTCGTATAGCTGCTCCTATATCCTTTCTTGATGTCCACTGAAAATTTCAAGTTTCTGTGGTTTTTGGTTTCGGAGATATGACCTTGTTTTTCAGGTCATGTCATGACCCAAATGGCCAATTCTCAACATCTTGCGTTGGCTATGGGCCTTGTGAGCTTTTAACACCTTGATTTCGGCCTTTTATGCCAATCCTACCTCCCACCTATCATGAAACATGTTGTTCGACGATGTACAGAGGTCAAGGTCAGGGTCAAGGTCAACCTAGGTCATCTAAGATAATTGCGTTTTAGGCAAGCTGAATTTACTTTTTTGAAATTTTTTGACTACATTTTTGGTAAAAGCTTCTCAGATCATGATTTCATGTAATATGGACACATAAACAATCGGTGCACACATCAGTATACACACAGACACACACAGACATACAAACACATATTATTGACCTTGACCTAACTTGACCTGAGATGACCTCAGCAGCAAAAACCTGGTCGGGTAGTGTGACAAAGAGGTTCTAGCTGGCTTGGCACCAGAAAACGGCATCGTCATCGGTATATGACAAGCAGCGCGCTTGATATCCAACGGTGACCTAAAACAGCAACATTTTTTAGTTTGAACTGACCTGGAAGGTCAATGACTGACCTGAGAAGGTAAAACTGGGTATCATTGGATTTGTCTCTTCCCAAAGAATCTTTTTGGTCTTTACCGCTAAGCTCTATCTCCAACAGGAACGAAATGGCGCGGGGGGGTGGCAGCCCCCCCCCCCCATGTGCGTTCTAGGATGGGAAAATGGCATGTGCGGGCGAGGGTTAAAGTGCTACATCAAATTGAATTAGATCCGTGTCAATAGGAAACTCATTCCTTGCGATTTTCGAGACGAGACGAATGTTATATTTGGTGATATTGTGTCTGTTTTGTATGTCTGAAGATGTTAATGGTGATATTAACGAAACGTTACCCGACAATATAGGCACAATTTTACATGAATTTGAAGCAGATGGCAAGAAGATCGTACGAAGTTTAGAGAACTTGGCAAAAAAGCAAACAAACGCCCGTTATGCTGTCATTTTTACACAAACATGCATATATATATATATATATATATATATATATATATATATATATATATATATATATATATATATAGGGTGGAGTCGTAAAGAGTACGCACTTAATGGATTTCTTGCTCTCATTTGTTTAATATTTGAAAGAATGAAATCGCAAATATGGAATATTAACCCGCGCGGGGCTGGGG